TAATAAGTGACTTCGCCTAGATCTTTGATTTTCAGTTTAGCTTTTAGTTGTTGGATTGTTTTCATTACATCTTCTTCTCTTTCAATTCCTATAAGTATATCATGTACACATAATATTATATATGTGAATTTTCCAATGATGTTTTTGAAAAATAAGCATGGGTCTGCTTTACTTTTTTTAATTAATATGTTTAGAAATATTTTTCTAATTTTTAGATTCCAAGCTCAAGTGGCTTCTTTTAAACCATATATTGATTTCAACAGCTTGCAAACTTTGTTTTCATTTCCAACTTTCGAGCATCCTACAGGTTGAGTCATGTAAATTTCTTCTTCTAGTTCTCCATGAAGAAAAGCTGTTTTGACATCGATATGTCCGATAGATATGTTTTTATACAAAGCTGCACATAGGAAAGCTCATATGGTTGTCTATTTTACTACAGGAGCAAAGGTTTCATCATAGTTAGATACAAACTTCTGGCTAATTCCTTTTTCGACTAATCTGGCTTTGTATCTTTCAATTTTTTCTGCTACATTGAGCTTGGTTTTGAAAGACCATTTACAGTCTATTGATTTTTTCCCTTTCTTCTCAAACAGCTGTCAACCATTTTCTTTTCTCATTTTCTTCCAGGTTTTGGGTTCAGGAAAGGCTGGATATTTTACATGGTATCCGTAGCAATCAGAAGGTTTACCTTTTGTGATTCTGTTCGATCTTCTGAGTTCTAAAGATTCTTCTTTGGATTCTGATATTTCTTCTTTTTCGGGCTCTTCAATTTTTATTTCTTAGGATTTTCTTTATCTTGGTTTAAAGAAATGCTTATAGGTGCGTTGGTCCAGTGTCTTCAATAAATCATACAGATCGACTTATTATGATTTTTTCTCCAGGAATTAAAATTCTATAGCCTTTACTTCTGCTGTCATAGCCAATGGGTATTCCTTCTATAGTAGTATCATCCAGTTTACCCCTTTTAGATTTTATGGATGTAAGCAAAAACCTTGCACCCCGAAAGTCCTCAGATAAGATAGGTTGGGTTTCCTCTTATTCTATAATTCGTATGGTGTTTTTGCATTTGGTTTTGTAGGCATACGATTTTGTGGATAATTTGCAGTCAGCACTGCTTCTGCCCAGTATCTGTGTGGTTGAGCTGAGTCAGCTAAAGACATCTTGTCATCTGTATTAAAGACCTATTTTTTTGTTCACAGACTCCATTTCGTGCTGGACAATGCGGTACAGTTAGCTTTAGCTTGTAATTTATATCTTCTTTTATCAGATATTCTTCAATTTCTTGCTTGTGTATTCACCACCATTATCACATCTTAGTGTTTTTAACTTTTCCTCCGAATTTATTGTTTGTAAGAGCAATAAATTGTTTTAGTTTAGAAATTGCTTCATTTTTTCTTTTCATTAGGTAAATCATTATAAATCTACTGTAATCATAAACAAAAGTTATGAAGTATAGGTAACCACTGACAGATCGTGTTTGTACTGGTCCTAAACATCAATATAAATGAGTTCGAGCAGTTTAGATGCTCTGAATTTCCATTCTATAGGATATGGAAAAGTTAGTTTACATTTTATGCACTGAATGCATTTAGTATCATGTTTACTATTATTTAGTTTGATTCCTTCACAAGTTCTTTGTTTACGTCGTCATTTCTGTGACCAAGGCATCTATGCCAAAGTTGAACACAGGTTTTTGCACTGAAATGCTACATGAACTGGTGGTTCATTATTCCCATTGATTGATTTAATTTGGTAAAGATTGTTAGTTGCATGACATTCTAGAATAATTTGATCTCCTTTTGCAATCATACATTTATTTCCTTCAATCAGAACCGAAAGTCCCTTTTCCATTATTTTCTCAATTGTGATTAAATTCGTTTCTAATCCAGGGACATATAAAACTTCCGATAAAATCACTTCAGTTATTTTTTTGTTTAAGTTTGTTATTTTTTAATGTTTTAAAATGCACATTTCCTATCCCTGTAGTTTTAACTCGTTTCCCATTCACAATTATGATGTCTGATGGATTTATGGCTTACTCAATGAAATATTTCTTATTACAGTCAAAAGTCGTTAATCCGGACTCGTCGGGACTTCGGTGATTCCGGATTATAGATCATCAGTTTAAATCTGGTAAGATGGCATGCAGAAATTACAAAATTAAAAATATGAAACCGTAATTTATGAAATAAAGAACAATTATGATCTAAAGGGTATCAAAATTTACAAAAAAGAAAAAGCTTAATATTTATTTGTTTACTTTGTTAAACATTTCTTTCAATGTAAGTTGCTTTTCAATGTAAGTTCATTTCATGTGATAATACTTTCTTTTTAATTCTATTAAACAGACATAATTTCTTGTTTAGTTACAAAGTTAGTTACAGAACAGTTCTGCTGTTCAAGTCCTATAATTGCTGTGTTGAGAATACCGACTAATTTGTCAATCGAAATGTTTTCATTTTCAATAACCTCTGGGTCACTTTCTTCACTATCGGAAGCGAATTATAATGATGTGGAACTTGATTTAAATCATATCAAAGACGGAGTACATCGAGATGAAATACTACACTTTAGTAAAGGAATTATAAGCCAAATAAAATAAAAAACATCTGCCCCTGAAGATAAGGATAATGCTGACAGATCAACTTCCAATTCATTGCGCTGCGTTTCCCCCACCCCACACCGCCACAGAGCAGCGTGAAATTGATAAACAGATTTTGGATTTCGAAACATACTTTCGCTTTGTAGATACAAATTACATATTAGTAAATATATATCGGAAATTCTATTTGACATAATCGAAAGTTCAAGCTTACTTTTATGAAATTGCTCTAACAGTCTGCAAAAAATAATACGCCGGATCCAATTTGAAGATTAAGGAACAACGCAATCTGCAACATTAACTGAATTAGATAATGTTAGCTTAGCTTTTACCGTTCGTTACACATTAAACGCGCATGCGCACAAACATATTCGCAGCAGTAAAGGTCTTACGCGCACTTGTACGCATGCGCAGAAAGTTTGTAGCTTTGAGGTCCGGATTATGGGTGTCCGAATTAATGACTTTTGACTGTATTTGCTAAATGATTACTTGCACCGCTATCAAAAATGAAACTTTCTGCTGACTGATTTATGATGTTGTTACTAGACAGAGCGACAGCACACCGCATCTAGATTCGATTTCCAGTATTTTTTTTTTTTTTTTTCATTGTGAGGTTACACGCATTCTTTGATTGGTAAGTTTTGTTGTAAATCTTTTTTTTTTTGGTTTTGATTTTAGATGATAACACTGTGATCTAAAGTGATTATTTTTATGACACTGTGAACAAATTGTGTCTCTCTTTGTTTTGTTTTGGAATGAGGCTTTCAATCTGATGAATTATTTTCAACTCTCTTGTTAAATTCGTCAATTAATTTTCCGTTTAGGAAATCTGAGTTTAGTTCTGATGCCGCTCTCATTTCAAGAGCCATTATGAGCATATCGTAAGAACTAGGCATTGAACAAAGCAAAAGTGCTGAAACATGATCATTCTTTATGTTCTCACCTATTGGTTTGAACTTATTGACTAACTCCAGTAAGGTATTTATATGAGTTTGCATATTTCCGGCTTCCTCAAGCTTCAAACTGTAAAGCTTTCACAAAAGAAATAGTTTACTTGAGGGATTAGACCATTCATGTACCTGTCTAAGTTTTCCCAGGTGGCTTTAGCAGTAGCTTCATGTTTAATATGAATTATTTGGCGGCCTTCGATAAATAAATTTATCATTGTGAGAGATTGCCAATCTCACTTGGAAAAACATTTTCAATTACATCGTAAAGATCATCCATTTTTAGTAGAATTTTCATTTTGAATTTCCATGTTGAGTAATTGCTGGAATTCAGTTTTGCAATTTGCATTTAACTTGAATGCAACATTTTTGTATCCTCGAAAAAATTTATTTTCGGTTTTGATATGAAATTACAGTATTATGTAATTAAACTACTGTAACATAATATTCATATTATATTATATGAATATTATGTTACAATAGTTTATTGTAACATAATATTTTTATGTGATCATGATTTTTCACTTCAGTCTCATAATCTTTTATTGTAAAACATTTTTTGTAGCCTCATAATTTTGCAACAAATTATCAAAGTAGAGAGTAAAGTAATTTCTCTTACCATGTATCAAAGGCAGCATCTGCATGATTATAGCTTATTGAGACTTGTAACTCAAAAGAGGTCGTAGCCAGAAATTGGAAGCTCACAAACACATTTTATTAATACATGATAATAGATTAAGGTTCATTAGTATTCCAAATATCAAAAGATAGTTATTTAATAGAGAGTCATATCATTGTCCTTTCCTGGAGGAGTGAGAAAAGAAAAAGTAAAGAGTAAAAGGGAGTCACACAATTAACTCCTTTGCAGGGTGTCCAGATTAACTGTTTATCATGCTATTGATGATAGTCCATTACCATTTGCATACTAGCAAAATTAACCTTAAAGTCGGACTGTACCATATAAATGTCTAAAATGTTTTATTCAAGATGGTGAAAACTTATTTTTTGTTTGGCACTAGATAGGATTAATGAAGGTTAATTCACCTTGAATATCTAGTGTTCTGCTGTATATATATTTTAATTTTATGCTAAATACTTTTTGATAAATTTGAGTATGTTAAATAGTATTTACTTCTCTTCTTGTTGATTTCAAGACTTTGATTGATTAGGCAGATAAAATATGATTAATTATAATATTCTTTCTCTCCTTCCCCTCTATCTTATTTTATTTTTATTCCAAGTTGAAAATATTTTATTATATGATTGGAAAAGAAAAATATTTTTTAACCTAAAACGCAATTACATGCAATATTAATTTAGATATACGCATTCTGAAAATGAAAACATTTCAAGCTATAAAGCATTGTATAGCAAATGTTTCTCTTTTTATGTATATGTAAAGTATTTAACAATTTATGTGCCAACATGTGAATTTTTTAAATTTATTTTAGAGCCCAAATGGAGTTAGATGATGATACTCATTTGTGCCTGCGCTGTGGAAAGACGATAATTGGATTGGATTGTTATGTGTTACATAGACAGCAGCAATGTTATAAGCCTACTGGTTCATCAGTTTTATCTGAAAGCTCTAGTAAAGTACCTTCATCAGAATCTCCTGTTGAGGAACTGAATTCTGATTTGCCTCAGAGTATTTGCAAACCCTCTGCAGATGATTTCTTTCTCTCCCTTAATCTGCAGAGTAATCTTAAACATGATAATTCCTTGTCTAATATTTCTTGTGGTACTCAAAAATCAGCAAGCACTGAAAACTTTTGTTCTAGATTAGATATAACTACTTTTGACAATGATTTTGAGACTACCTTTTCTGAAAATAAAGAAATGTGTTCAAGTAATATTGTAGATGAAACTGATAGCTTAACCATGGATGAAATGGTATTATCTAATGAAAAATGGGATTCTAATTTTAAAATTCATGGTAGTTTTTGTACGGCTTCACAAGGTACTAAAGGAGCTATTTCAAATTTTCTTGCTGGTGAAAATATTATGTTACAAATGGATCCAGTCTATGAAGCTAACTCTTTGTGTTCCGACACTTTTACCTACAAAGAAGCTGTTCATGAAGAATCACATAGTGTTGATAGTAATCTTTTATATTCAAAAGCTGAAAATATCAAGGAACATGTTAAATCTTTAAGTTTGCCTGAGCTTAGATTTTCATTTCGGCAAAAATTAAATACTAGTTGTAGTTTGATGTGTTGTGATGATGTAGAGAAATATTTATGTAACTTATGTGATCATGTATTTGGTTTTCAGGATATTTTTCTGGATCATCTTCTGTCATGCAGAAAAACTGACAGTAGCATTTGGATATCTGAAATTTTCAAAAATGAAATTCTTTTTATTCATAGCTTACGTTTTAAATGCCTTCTATGTTCATTTTACTGTAATGATTCTGTTGTTTTTCTAAACCATTTAGAGAGTTCTGATCATCGTCAAAATACAGCATCTTTAACAAAGCCTTTAATTTGTTTTCCATGCCAAGATGAATGCTGTGCAAGTGATGAAATGTTTCAACATTTTTCTAAAAACCATTATTTGTCAGACTACAAAAAACATCCTGTTATTATAACTGAAGCTAAAAAGTCTTTACATTGTTGTTATTGTCTGTCATTTGTTCGCACTGCAAATCATTTTCAGTCAAAGGAAATGTTTCACTTACTTTCATTTAATGATATTTTGTTTTATAAAGACACATTGCCATATGTGTCTCCTTGCTGCTATAGAATAGACAGTTTTTTGCCAAATAGTCATATTCAGTCATTAAACACATTCACTTCCTTAATATCGAATTCTGAAACTCAACATTCTGATATGATTTCTAATGGTTTAACTAATTTGTATTGTACTCAAGATAGACTGAAAAAGAATTCTGAGGTTCCTAAAAATGATTGTTGTCAGATTGTAAAACAGTTGAATCAAAATCATGCTACTTATAAAGATAAAAGTATATTAGTAATGCAAAATGGTGCAAAAATATGTGGTGATACTGTAATAAAAAAGCCTTTCAGAAAATATAAAAAATCTCTTAATAAAAAATTATGCCATCTTTCTGCCAAAAAGTATTCTTGCACTATATGTAAAGCTCAGTACTCAAGTAAAAGTGCTTTAAAGCACCATTTAAAAGCACATACTTTAAAGAATGATAAAGTAAATTGTATTTCAAATGCTTCTCAAAATAATCAACAGAAAAAGATTTATGTTCCCAATGTCTATTTATGTTCTAAGTGTGGGTATAGAACTAAAACTGCTCAAATGTTGACTAGACATGAGCGTACTCATACTGGAGAAAGACCATTTAAGTGCAAAGATTGCAGTTACTCCTGTTGTTTGAGTAGTCAACTACTAAGGCATAAAAGACTTCATTCAGGTTCTAAACCATATAAATGTCCATACTGTAAATATGTATGTAACTCACAAGAGAATCTACGAAAACACATTTTAAAAACAAAAAAACATAAAGGAAAGAAAATGTATAAATGTCAGTTCTGTGATTATGGCTGTAATGTATTTTCTGATTATAGAGAACATTTGCTCAACTCTCATTTGGAACATTTCCCAAATGGAGAAAAGGATATTAATTCCTCAGCAGTAGCAGGAATATACAAGTCTGTTGTTTGAATATATAATTATTTTCATAAAGTAATTTATGTGTTAGAATTTCTTCAGGAATTTAAGCGTAATCTTTTGATTTATGTGAAAATATAAACATTTATTTAAGAATATAAAAGATATTTATAACAGGGTTCTTATGGTCCTTTATTTAGGTCAAAATCAGCGGAAGGTCCGTAATTTTAATCATCTGAAATTTCTGTCTGTTCTTACAACTGCCATTTTGAGTGTGAATTAGCGTTTTAGAGAAATAGTTTTGCTGATTTTGGCAACTTATTATAGGATATTTTGAGTCTGAAAAATAAACAAGGTATAATGCTATAAAGCATGATTTACGAAACAATTCTTAGCAAAAGCAAAATTTGCTGTGTAATTGATTAAAAATCCTTTTTAATTTTCTCATAGTAAGAGTTTTCCCCTTGTAATTGTCTCAGAATTCTCAGAATATGCATCAGTTTTCTCTATAAAATTAATTTTACGCTTACCTTTCCCCCCCTTTTTTTTAAATAATTCTGGCTTTTTGCTTTTAAAGAATTGGTAGGGATAATTTTAGATTTTAGGTAGGGATTTTAGACACTGCAGCTTGCAAAGTTAGAAGGATTTGAAGGGAAGATTTATAGACTCGCAAGTCTAGAAAATTCCAGAAATATGACAAAATGAAAAATGTCTCCATGGTATATTAATACGTAATGGATGTATTTGACGGAAAGTTTGCAATGAATTTCTTACTTTGAGAACAATGAAAACATAATATTTGAATGTTTTACTTCTGATATTAGATTCATTTTCTTAACATGTTTATCTTCCCTTTATTTTCAGTACTTTTCACTAGACACAAGCATGAAAATTATCCAAAATGCTTTTAATCTTATCACATGGACAAGCGTTATAGAAAGGAATTTTTTTTATTAATAAAGAAATCGAAAACTTACAATTTAAAAGATTAATCTAATATGTCTTAATGCATCATATATAGAGCTGGAGCTAGGCATTTTCCAATAAAATCTCTGTGGATCCCAAATTCTGCTTCCAATGCCTGCTCTAAATTCTAAAATTTATAACATTACTGAATTTTGTTGCTCGGTGTGTCACTAAATTCTAAAAATTCTGCCACACCAGTTCTATAGCCAGCCCTTACCATATATATTTCATATTTCTTTTGAATGTTCATATTGCTAAAGAAATCAAATTAGCTGCTTTTTCTGTACATTCTAAATGCATTTATTATTATTATTTTTTTACAATTACAGAAATTCGTAATTAAATCCAAAAATTCTAAAATTAAAAGGAAATATGTTAAAGAAAGAAACTGAATACATAAAGAAAATTATTCTTCAAAGATATGTACAGATATTATTATGTAAATTACCCAGTTGTTTATGATTTCAATTTCCCAATTCTGTTTCTTCATATGATAGAGTTACTGAGCCAGCTTAAACTAAAATTAAATTGTATAGTCTTTGACAAACTTGTCCACATTTTTAGTTTGAATTTGACTGTTCTTGATTAATTACATCACCAGAAACTAATTGATTTTGTTAGCATCAGAACTTGCCTTTATGTTCTAAGTTCTTTTTTAAATAAGAGGCTTATTTAAACCTTTGTTTGACAGTGTAGTTACTTTCAGACATAGCGATAATTTGCCTCATGTCTGTCGGGAGATTTTGGACTATTTAACTTTTGCCAGATCAAGTAAACCCTCATAGCTGCATTGTGGAGAGGTTGACAAGTTAGAAGATAAAGCACACAGAAACTAGTGATAACATTGGCTTGTGTATTGCGACAAATTTCTGGTTGTTAGGAAAGATGCTTAAAGAGAAGAAAATCGATATAAGGTAGCCAAAATGTCTGGGAAGGCTTCAAATTAAAAAGATGTATAAATATTTTGTTGAATGTTGTTGTTACAAAGCATAAATGTTTTATAGCTTTTAATGTGTAATTATCCTTATATCATTTAAGAAACAATGTCATAAATTACATGTATTTTAAACTGTGAAATTTATTAGATTGTGATTTTAATAGGGTTTTTTAACAAATATTATTAAAAAATAAATAAAATTTAATAGTGTCCATGTAAATCCCATTATGACTAATATTATCTAACTACCTAATTTAATTATTTATAACTAACTGCTTACTCTTGAAAATTATCTCTGCATATTAAAGCCATTCGTTAATCCTTACCGTGGCCTTTGATTAATCCTTACCGTAGCCACATGATGAAACACAAAAATGTAAAAATTCATGTAAAAGTTATTCTTTGCATCTAAAATAATACAAAGCAACTGATCACCTCTGGTGCTTTAATAGCTTATTGGAACCTTAAAGTATATTAACTGGGTTGAAATCCCTGGAACTCTACACGAAGCTATAACACCAACTGCATCAGACAGAGCCTGACTAACTTTCAAAACTTGCCAACCATTCCTACATTAGGACTTTCAGGTTTGTTCTAATTAGCAGGTCTCTCTTTAGGCCAGCAGCAGCGGTGAAAGCATCCAGTCTTTTGTTATGAATCATGTTGATTATGATCTTGCTTCTCATTTTAATCTATGCCACTTGACATAAAATTTACCTGCTGTTTACTAAACCACTAGACTGAGCAAGTATGTGACAAAATGAAACATTAAAAAATAATAATAAATAAATCAACATAAAGCTTATTGTTAGTAAAACATAAATAAAATGTCACTTATCTTCTTTCAAGTATGCCAACTATTATAAGTGTAAAATATTTAAGCTACTTGATACATTTTATACAGTTGATTTCATTCTCAAACTTATTAATAATTTTGTTAATTCATGTTTAATAATAATTTATCCTACTTACTGATCTATTTTTATTTTTAGGATGGTATTACAAAAGTTAAGTTCAGGCATAGATAATATTTTTAATTGAATTTATTCAGTTTCTATTTGCTCATAGGTCCTTAATTTTTTTCATTCATGGTTCTTAAAAGAACTTAATTTCCATGTGCAGAAATGTGTACAAGCCCTGTATAAACTTAATATCTCCAAATATTGTTCCCAGACATGAATTTCCAAAAGTTTCTGTAAGGAAGATAGACTTTTATGAAAATACTTTCAGCAATAAGCGTAGGAGTATTTTGTAAATACAAAGTTTTAATATTTTATTTGATCATTGTCACCCCATATAGACAAAAGTTCATTAGGAAAATGTTTTGTGATGTTTTTATTAAATTCAAAAAAACTTCCATAGATCTGAATGTAAAAATTCACATAGATATTTGTAATTAATAATGTTATCGACCCAGCTATACACCTAATAATGAATACTGTTTTATATGAAACAAAATCATTAACTGTCAATAGAGTCAGCTTTTATTTTATAGTTTCTCCCTAAATTCAAACAAAACGATATCCAATTTTGCTATTGCTTAGTTATGTTTTAATCTAATTAAACAGTTTGTTCCATTGTGATTCCCTTTGTTTTTATAAAACTCATTTATTTTTAGTGTTGAAAATGTTTTACATCAAATTTTGTACTTTATTTTGAGAAGTTTTATAACTGGAAGTAGGTGTCTAAAATCAATATTCAAGAAAATAAGTTAAAATTTATACTCAATTTTTCGAATACTCTGTTTGGAACAACAACAAAAAAAAAAGTATTTCTGTGATCTGTTATATCTTCAGAAGATGTAAAATTGTTGTTTTCTATTAAAATATATTTCTTTTTAAGTAATTTCTTTCTTATACTGTCAAATTCTGTTTGAGTTGAATTTGTGTAAAATCCACAAAATTAGATTCCTTCTTATATTATTTTCAGTTTTTTGTATTTTAAGAGAATTATAACATAAATTATTTAAGAAATTGAGTTGTTTTGTAGAACAATATTTTATTTATTTACATAATTGATGAATTGAGCAATATTTTAGCTACGTATGAAGTTACTAAAAGTTATGCACGTGTTCCTCTTCTCATTTAGTGAAACTGATTATTAATTCTGTCATTTAATGTTTTTCCTATAATAGATTAAAATCTGTCTTTATATGTAACTTTAATTATCTCTTTCTTAGCCATGTGCAATAGTGATATGGAAAGTTAGCCTTAATCTTGCACGGTTGTTTCAGGATAAAGCATTATAGAGAAAGTATAGTTGCTTCTCCAATTCTCTTAGCATTTGTAAATTTATTCTGCTATGAATGTGATCAAATAAATCATATGAAAGTTTAATGATGTCGTATTGATTTTGATTAATTCTTTCTTTCTATATGTATCATGTTCGCAGAAGTCCATAAGAGCCTTTATTTTCTCAACTGTTGGTTATATACATTTAATTCCTGTTACAAAAAAGTTTCAAATAGTGCAAATATTCGTGTTTGGGCATTTTTAAATTTACAGAAAATCAATTTTATAAAATTATCAAATCTAATTTTTATATGGTCCCCTGATACGTGTATTTATATTTAGGAAGTTTGTATTCACTTTATAGAAAAGTAAAATATAAAACGTTTGATTCCCATATGATTTAGTGTGTTTAAATTATTTAATTTATATATATATTTTTTTTTACAGTTGGTGTGCAAAAAGAATTTCACATAAGTAACTAATTAATAAATTTTCAGATGCTAAAATTGTTATTTTTAGTCATAATCTAATATCATACAAAAAGGTTAAGTAAACTGGAAATGTTTTTTATTTTTATTAGCGCAAATAATGTTTATAAGTTGGTTATGGGTCAATGCTGAAGACTACCAGCATTTTCTAAAATACAAATTCTGTGAATAAAATATGTTTTTTTTTTTCCATCATCATCATTTTTTCATCTTCGATCTGCATAGAAATGCTGGTCACTTGATCTGTTAGTGACAGAAACCTTTTTCTAATTTGATATTTTTAGTTATGTACATGTGCAAACATTTTTCTTTTCAATTTGTGTACGGCGTTATAGAGAAATATATATATGGATATGATTCTAAATTTTAAAGTTAAATTTCTCTGTCAGTTTTCTCATATGGGAATCAAACTTTTTTTATTGTTTATTAAGAGGATGAAAGTTCTCTAAATATAACTGTAGAAATTATATAAAAAGATTAGATTTCATATTTTTTAATTTAAAAATGCTGAAACATTTGTGTTATTTAAAACATTTTTGTGCCGCCCAAGCGGGATAGTGCTGACTGCTGTACTGAAGGGCCTATGTTTGAATCCCGGAGAAGGCATGCATATTTGTAAATGTATAATGTCTCTGCGGCATGGGGGCACTCAAAATATGCAGCGAGCCAAAAGCCATTTCGAGAGGTTGATGGTAGAACGAGAGGAGTGGGACCGTTCCTTCAGGGTGCTGTCCATCAAAATTGGGAGGCGGAACTGAGCACAGTGATACAGTCACCTGTATGGTGCTTAAGGCTCTTGCAAATG